TATAGAAATCCGATCGGTATCCGACCGTCGGAATAAATGGGGATTTCGACAATCGGAAATTATCGGAAACGTATGAGTATCCGATTGTCGGATCCGATCGGAGTTCTGTAACCCGGATTCCGATCGGATTTTTGTCGGTTTTCGGGTCCGATCGGATCCGATAGGATCCGTCGTCGGATTTTTGGACCTGGGAATGCCATGGTCGTGCCTATGGCTGAGCACGCAACAACATCCTTCGCAATGAACATTTCTCAACAACGAAACATTGAATCTGTTTCAATTCTCTTGACTTAAAGAGCGAAATTACAAGAAAAAAAGTTTGCTATTCCTGAAAAAACGAAGCATAAAGATACCAAGAGTGGAGTGGATGTGGGTATGGGTGTGTGGGATGCGAGTGTAGATGTGGATGTGAGTGTAAATAGAAGACTAAGACCGAGGCCCACACCCACACCCTTTCTCGATCCAACAAATGAGAAGGTGTGGATGTAGATGTGGTTGTTACTCTTCTTGTCATCTACACCCATATCCACATGGCAAATTCAAGAAAAAAAAAGAAATGTTACAAAAAATATACGTAAAAAGAATCAGGGAAGAAATTCAAGAAGAAAGAATCAGACACGAAAATCAAGAAAAAAAATAGCAGGCAAGAAAACCAAGAAAAAAAAGGATCTGTAAAAATTTCAAGAACACAAGGATCCTGCAGAACGACATGATTCCTGTCTCATAAAGCAAGATTCGATCTACATGATTCTTGTCAAAAGTCAAGATCTGATTTTTTCACACAAGCATCTTGGGTAGCATATATGTAAAAAGAATCTTGTATGACGATCAAGAAAAGCAAGAATCTGGACAGAATAGAAATAAGAACGTCGACTAGTATTCACTTCATCGTTCTCGTTGATGTAGAAATATACGCCATCTCTCGCTCTAAGAGACTAATGATTGAAAAAACTTAACCAATCAATTTTTTTTTCTCTTGTATACACGATAAATAGGATGGGGGTGTCATTGATCTGAAGAAGTACTCCTCTACTTCTCTCTTTGCATCCACTTTGTTTATACTGATGTCACATGGCAAGCAACGAAGAATATGAAATTGCTCTAATTGAGAATGATATCGATGCTCGTTTATGTGCTACAATAATTGCAGAAGAATTTGCTTTACATAATTCTCTGGTGGTCTTCAATCAATCAACATCCGACGAATTATTTAATGAATGCTTTTGGCCATTAATGATCCAGGTGCTTGATGAAAAATTATCATTTTTAATACGATATCTTCCAACAAATGAAATTGTTGCAGTAATCATAGCCGGTGACCTCTTCTTAGAGTGTAAAAATCATCCATACGATGTTTCTAGTCCGGCATCATTCATTCCAAATATAGATTTGTTTTCAGAAATGCTTGATCAATTTGTTTATCATGATTTTGACCAACAATTAAAACCATATATGATTTTATCTATTTCAGTTGTTGTAACAAAATCTAAATACTCAGGTAAAAGTTTAGCTGCTCAATTAAGTATTCATGTATGTAATTATGCAAGAGATACAAAAGGATTTCAATATGCATTTGTACAAACATCAAATCCAGCAACACGTCATATTTTTGTTAAAAAAATGAATGGAAAAGAAATAACAATTGTTGATCCAGCAACTTGGTTATGGAAAAAGAAAGATCATGGTTTATCACGTCCATTTAAAGATTATAAAGGAGAACCTATTGTCAATATTCTTGTCAAACTGGATGAATAAAAATAACTAATATAGATAAAGATTAGTTTTGTTTTTTGAAATAAATCATGTTCAAAAATTTTATTCAATAAATAATAAATTAAAATCAATGTTAGGATACTGACCAAAAAACTTTTTTTGTTTTTGTTTAAATGCTTCTTATACACTACTAAGAATCCATTTAAATAAAATTCTGATGTGGGTGTCGGTAGATGTATAGAAAAAGAGGATACTTACACACCCACACCCCATACCCGTGGACAGCGAAAATAAACATACACTACAAACATTTATTGCTTTGTTTCTGGTGATTTTTTGTGTTATTTGAATCAGTTGTTAGAAGAAGAAATAACGTGTAATCAAACACATTACACGACTATTCCATTTTCTTTTATTTTTTAGACTTTCAACACCACATCGATTACCTCTAAGTACCATTTGGATTAATTTATATCATTGATTGTAATATACCGAATCATGAAAAGATATTTCATCTTTGAATACTAAAGAAGTTGTTCACACATCACACAAACATTTACTTTCGCCTTTTAGATTCACCTGTCCCTAAATGATTAGCTATCCTCTAAAAACAATGATATTTTTTAGTTCACCTACAGTAGTGGACACCTAAGGGACCTTTTCAAAATGTTCACTATAGGAAGGTGTCCATTTTCGAAAGGTTTTCAATTTTTTTTCGTTTCGATCATTTCTACAGTTACTTAACCAAATCAAACTTCCTTTCTTGATATTATTTTGCAAAGAAAGACCTATTGAGGACATTTTACATCGTAATTTATTGAAAATTACTTGTCTAATACAATTTATTGAGAACTACTTTTTGAAGAAGTCAGTCATACAGCTTTATTTAGACACTTTTATATCAAGATAAAAGTCAATCATCTTTGCGTCGAGTTCGCTAATAAGCGAGTGAAGTTCAGATTGTTCTTTCGACGCGAACAATTGTAACCTTTACAGCATATAGAGCGCTTCGGGCAGTTTTGGAGATGTCTCTTCGATGGCATCAGCATTACCGATTTCAACAAGAAGATCCCTGTGGATGTGCATGTGAGTACCCGAGGAGAGAATTCATACCCACATTCTAATATCTAGCAATAGTACAATTATTTGCATAAAATCATCTCTCTATCAAGAAAAAATTGATTTTACAGCTGAAATCCTTTCATAGTCAGTTACATTTGACTTTGAAATAGAATGCATATGTACGGTGTTATATAAGTACATTTTAAACCGGTACATCTGCATCATCAAAAAGAAAACATGACTAATTTTCATCTCATTAGTGTCGAACAAACTCTATCTAAATTTTTAAGATTAAAGATGTATAATGGAGAAAAATCTGATTATTGTAATTAAGATAATCATTGTCAACCAAGAGTTTTTTTTTCAAGCAGATCTTATTAGAAAAGAACCATTTTATACTACTGAAAAAATACATTAAAATATCAAATTGTTCGTGAATGATGACATTACCGAATCAATAGGATCTATTAAGTAACAAAACAGTATGAAATAGATTTTCCTGTTAGTTCTTTATCTCTCATATATCGAGGATTTTGTGTCTTTTAATAATACAACAGTTCATTTTTTTTTGATAACGAATTTCTCTTGTAAATGACTTTCGAATATTTTGATTCGAGATATTTAAACCAATATTAGTTTAATAAAATTAGTTCATTTCTGAAAACAATCTTAAGAAAATGAAATAGCTTCTTGTACGGATTGCATACTATTTAGTCTTTTGATCATTACTCATCATCAAAAATGAACGTATCCTTACAATTTCAAACGTTAAAGATAGTCTAGTTTAATTGAAACTTTCTCTATGGAAAAGTCTTTGAAATGAAATTTAAAAAATTGCTCTCAAAAGAATAAAAACTGAAAAAGAAGATTTTGTTTGAAATAAAGTCAAATTTTGATACTCCAGCAATGAAGACTCGATCAATGATCAGTTTTATCATTTATTTTGCTCATTAGAATCTAACAAACAGTACTGCGTTTTAAGTAGTCTCTATACATTTGAAATCTTAATCATTGTTCTTATGTCTTTTGAAAGACGTGATGTTTGTTTTCATTCGATTTTGTCATCAAGCTTTTACGAAACACGAGTGTTGAAGTATAGGGGTAAAAATTTGGTCCCCCTTCTAGTGTACTGCGTGATTGATACTTTTGATCACGAATGTTACATAGTATGTCGAGACATAAGAACAATTTTCCATCGTTCAGTCGTGTCACCTGTCTAATATATTCCATTAGATACTAGAGATGGACACAGAATATCATTTTTGCACCTGGCCCTATCGTGCTGATGAACAGAGCATAAGAAAAAACGTACTCCGCAAAATTGCTGCATCATCTAGAGCGTATTTTTCAGTCGAGGTCAAAAGTAACAGCGTTTTCATATTGTATCATAGCATATTGCTCTATTTAATACCATTTCAAAATAAAAGTCGCTAACAGTTCAAGCAGCAAGCAAAGTATGAATATCATCAAAATAATGAATGTTTTAATTATTTAGGAGTATAACAATTGAAAGGAGGTAAAGTCGAGTTATTAAAAAATGAGGTATAGAAGAATTTGATGTAGTATGAAGTTTAGCTGTAGACAACAGATAAATATTCTTATAAGAATCAATAATATAGAGCTCATGAATTAATTTTTGTTTTGATCTAGTAAAAACACGAGAATTAGATATTATAAATACAACTTTTTTCGATGTTTATTCTATTTATGTTCTTTCGTTTTTTTCTATCCCAATTATGTTCATTTGAATGAATATCTATAGAGGAAAAATCTCAATACTAGCTGATACCGTCCTCAGCAGTTTATTCTAGATTTTTTTGTCTCTCGAAGACTCAAAAAACGCTGATTTTTCAAGTTAAAAACTCGATGTTTAAACTCGCAGAATATATAGACTTCATCCTGTCCTGTGTTCATCTCCGCTAGATACTTTGTTTTTTGTTAAAACTTACATATGAACTGTCAGCTTTTTTTCTGATTAAATTTCTGAATAAATATTTCAGATTTCGAACGTATATATATTATAATCGTGAATCACTAAATCTTAGTTTCGATCACAATCATGAAGTACACTATCCACTTCATACGATCTTGTTTCATATTTTAATTTCATAGAGATTATGTTAACTTTCTGAGTGAGTCAGATTTTTCTTGAATTGATTATTTTGTTTTTTATACCATTTGGCAGAGAAATAGCCGATGAGTATTGTCAAGGTGATTAAAATTATAATTCCAAAAATAAATGCAGTAATCAAATTTCGTCTACCTTGATTAACTTTATCATCAATTGTCCAAATTAAATCATAAGGTTTCTTTATATTGTAATAACATTTGTAAACTTGACCAATCTAAAAACAAAGAATTTTCTCTTTAGTGCTTCTCAAGCAAATTTTTTACTCACTTTATACTGATTCGTTGTTGCTTCGATTGCATCTGTAAATGTTGTATAATTGTTTACAAATATTTTTGAAAGTTTTTCTGATTCACTATCATTAAAATCGACTGTCCATATTGCTTGAAATTTTCCATTAAACCATTTCATAACATTTGTTTCATGAACTCTACAATGAGTCTGTTGTTGAGTCTTTGGAAATTGAATATACTTTTGATAACCAAAGTATAAATTCATAGAAAATAAGACTAATATTATAATACTTATTCCTGTGAAGAGTCCAGCAATTTCAGCTTTGCTGTCTGAATCCATTTTTTAGTCGACTTTAACTACAAAATAGAGAATGTGAAAATAAGACGCTACGAGAAATTGATTACATTTTTTATATGTTAAAGTTGTGTAATTACACCGATGAATAATTTTTATTTTTGTATCCACATAAACTAAATGAATAAAGTGGAGTCAATTTTTTTTCTCGTTTACACAAAGCTAAGTGAAGAAAGAAAAGTAAATTTTTTCACTCTTAAAATCGTAATGCATCACTTGTTTAAAATATACTTGTTCCATTTCCATATTAATTTTCCTCTGTTATTAAAGAAAGAAAAAAAAAGGTTCTGCATCGAGCACATTTCTATTGACATAATTTCTAAGTGATGAAAACATGAATATTAACTTCACTTTTTTTCTTTTATTGCAGATAGTAAAAATATACCTATTAGCAAAGTGAGAAAAGCTGAAATTTTCATTACTTCGGAAAGCATTTTTCCGGAATCCTCCCTATCTTTGTATGAACGAAACATGGTGTTGTTCGGGTCATTTAAAGGATGTACGTGTTGATCTTCTTTTCACCTACGCTGACATCCACACCCTAAATGAGAAAGTACTACTGTTCGGAAGGGCTTTTCCAGCATACATGTGACGGAACACTATGCTCTGTGTGTTAACAGTTACTGCTTTATCAGTCAGTACTCTGTATCGGACAAGATCTTCTGTAGGAATTGTCAAGGACAGGGAAGTGCGAGAGGAATTGCTGGAAGAAAACACTAGAAAAAATAAACATTTTTTATCGTTTTGGTTTGAGCAAAAAAAAGTTATAGTCTCTATAGTAGTGATGTCGTATACCATTTACTATTACTAGTAAGTGATAAGTGATACCATTTACCACTTCCCGGTAAGTGATGAAAATTATCATGCAAGAATAAATAATCAATGGTTAAAATACTTATTGATTAGTGTTATATTGATAAGTTTTCGATGAGTACAACACTTACCACTTACCTGGTAAATGGTAAATGTGACACCCCTACTCTATAGTCACTTTTGAGAAGAAAAATTGATAATCAACAAAATGAGAAGATTCCATTTCTTACGAAAAATTTCGTTCGGCTGATTCGATGCATGTTATTATCGGATCTTTGAGTTGAACATTGAGGATTCTGATCATTCGTTCAAGTATCAGTAATTCATAATTCTATTTCTTTGATCAATTCAAATCAAATACATGATTCTACTGGATGGTCTTTGCTGACAATATAATTCTTCTAGAATTTGTATATAGTGGATGTTAGTGAAACTGACTTCAGTGTGGTTTTCAAATGTTTGAGTGTTTGTATAAGTTAGCAACGTAGTTACGGTATGTATCCAGATTAGAGTTCGTTGTTAGTAGTTTTGCACTCTTTTCCTATATTAAAGGTATGGATGCATGATTGGGTTGAATACCAAGATTCACACCCAGCACACCCTTAATATGGTTCGTAGACAGTTCAAATTAGAGAAACCTAAATATTCAAGAACGTCACTCGGTCATATTTGATATAGTGCTTTTTTACACACTTGTTTCTTATGATGGACATGTAATCGAGTTCGAGAATCATTTCTTCAAGTGTGACTCTATTTTATGCATTTGAAGACAATATATTTTCTGTTACTTTTTCACCATCAATATAGAATGCATGGGATCACTTGAAATGCACTTTATTGACAGTACTTTTACTCGTATTCATTTTTGTTCTATTTGAATGAAACAAACGAAAAATTTTATTTGGAAGGAAAAAGATGACATGTGATTGTTTTATTCCATTACGTTCTCTTTCTCTCTTTTTCGAATCATTCGAAAGTATTGAGAAATAACGGTGCAGATGAGTTTTAACTTGTAAAACAATGCTGGTTGGAAAGATTCCTGTTTTTTTTTATACTTAAAAATCTGTTCAAAAAGAAACAAAATGAAGAATGATCGAAATCGTCTTTTATCATTAATTCTTGAACATTTTAAATTAGATATTGATCTAAGGTTTGAATTTCCATATATTTATATTGTTGACCCTGAATAATTCACATTGAAAGAACGTCAAAAATACAAAACTGTTAATCAAATTTGAGTTTTATACATTGATTATAGTAATAAAAAATATTTGTGTTATGTTTACCAATCTATTTTTTTACTCAACACAAGAATTCATTGAAACGACCGATTCATCTTTTCTACTTTCAGGTACAAATAAATATGTTATTCCTGCTCAATTTATCAATCTATATAGAAAATATTTTTTATCGTCTGGTCTTGTGAATTGATTTAAAAACCAATGACCTATAGATTAAGTTTATGATGAATAATTTGAAATTCATGACCCATCAATATGTGTAACATTCGAAGATCCAAAATTGCCATTATAAATGGATCATGTTGCATCATTAAAATGTATTCATTAGTCTAAACTAGCATAAGATTAGATTAATCGTACACGATTAAGTCATTGACCAGATCAATATTTAATTAATTCAATTGTTAAATTTGATTGTCATTTAACCCTTTCGAGGCGATTCGGTTTTCATAGAAAATAACTTTAACACATTCATCTTCATGTCTATTCACTCTCAATAAATGCACTCGTTGGACTTTTCAGTATATACAACCATTCATTTCTCTTTTTCTTGTTTGTACCATTACACAGCGATCTTATTCCACGTAGAACTGAATAGTTACTTAAGTTTGCTTTTCTCTTTCTCTCATATGTATTTGCACTAGGAACAATATAGAGAAATAAAATATCAATCTCTTTTTGTTTTCTTTTCGAAGCATCATCTTTGATTCATTCTGTTATGATCTACATCTCCTATAGGTGCAATTAGAAGACATATTCTTCTTATTTTCATCATTGAGCATTCTCCAATAAAGGAAAACAAGGTATAGATTTATCTGATTAGCTATCAGCATACTATACATGTCTCAGACGATCCATGAAATGATATTTGGAACGGCAATAGTTAACGCCTACTTGATTTACAAGGAAAATTATGACACAAGTCATGTGACCATGCTACAGTTTTGTGAATCTTGTACGATCGTTACATCTTAGTACGTCATTTGAGATGCTAAAACTTGGTATGAAGCAACAATCAACAAGTAATTCGAAACGTAAACTAGTTGATCATAAGCTTGCAGAAAAAGAAGAATCTGTGCGCAATGTTCGCAGACACTGTAGACCGCTATGAGAAAGGAAAGGAATCACAATCACGAGAAAAGAGCTATGCGGCAGCAAATAAAATAAAAATCTTTTGTTCTGACTGTAATTAATTCTTTTATCTTGATTGTTTTAATAAGAAATATCATGCTATGGAATAAAAGAATCAAAAAACATATCCAGGGCAGAGCAGAATTCACATTGTGTTTAACCTCCTGCCTAAGAAAAAAGCAAAAGAAAGTACTTTTCTATACAGTTTCTGGTTAAACTATAGCGTCGCCCACCGGTGGGCGACATCGCCTCAAAAGGGTTAATAATACTGTACTTCTTAATTCATTTCATTGTGGCCTAGTTCTAATATTTATGTTGTACAATATGAAAATGTATGAGAGAAATAATTACTACTATTCTATTTTCTAGAAGATTAATCATATATCATTTTCGATCGTAAATCTTACATTTTGAATGCATAATTTAAAGAATGTATATTAGAAATACAACAAATAAAATGAAATTTTGTTATCAGAAAGATAAAAGAATGTGTTAATCTATTTTAAATAGCATATAAGTTAAATGTTGTACTCTTTGATTTGTTAATTTAAATTAACTTAATTATAGAAAAGAATATTTAATTAATATTCTTTTCTTTTTATTTTGATGAGTTGTTTTTAGAATTATTTCTATTCAATGATTTGTTTTTTTTCGTTAATGCATTTCTTTCGTTTTTTATTAGACATGTTGAACAATTCGTATACGATAGAAACTATAGTTGACACGTCCTTTTTCTCATTAAATAACAAAGTGATGAAAATCCATTGTCAAAATTATAAATATTTTGTAATAAAATTGATTATATAATAAGGTAGTATTTTATAAAATTGGTCATATCAATATTTACATTCATAAAACTGGTATTTGTCTTACGAGGGAACCTATTCAACTGTCCAATCGCTTTTGAGTTCGAACTCAGTTTGAAAGATAGACCCCAGTGAGGTATGAAAAGGCCCAAAAGGATAAGTGCCCATAGGCCTTCCGTCCAGAGTTATAGGCATTTTACTAGATTTTTAGCCTATGGCACAGTATATACCAAAAAATCGAATGACAATATTTCGAGCTGAGATTATGTCCAAAGATAGGTCTATGTACCAATAGAATGCCCTGAAAATTTCAGCTCAAAAGAATGTTCCAATCTCGAGATATTGAACACCCAAAAGCCAAAAAATTCTAGCATCATTCGCGGGATATGCGTGATTTTTGGGAGTTTAATATCCCGAGATTGAAACATTCTTTTGAGCTGAAATTTTCAGGGCATTCTATTGGTACATAGACCTATCGTTGGACGAAATCTCAGCTCGAAATATTGTCATTCGATTTTTTGGTATATACTGTGCCATAGGCTAAAAATCTAGTAAAATGCCTATAACTCTGGACGGAAGGCCTATGGGCACTTATCCTTTTGGGCCTTTTCATACCTCACTGGGGTCTATCTTTCAAACTGAGTTCGAACTCAAAAGCGATTGGACAGTTGAATAGGTTCCCTCGTTAGTTCATCTAAAAATAAAATGATAACTCTTTTCGATATATAAATTTGATGAAGGTCTGCTCTTTAAGTAGAATTAACTGATGATTTGGAATAAAGATCGTTATCAAACAAAAGATGAAGAATCGCGGAAATGAACTGTTAGACATCGAAATAATATCAAATAATCGAATATTAAATCTAAGGATGAACTATTCCCGACCGACTGTCCAATTGCGTTTCTGAACACCTGCTTGCGTGAAAATGTTTCCAATTCGAATGTTTTTTTGCTTGTAAGAATCGGAATCGTATTGAAATAGATAGTATGGATTTTTTCGGATCAGAATTGGCCACAGCTATCCCTGAGTAGCTTGCGTTTTTAGAGTTGCTCACATTCTCTGAGCCCGTTGACTTGCTTAGGTTCTGTTAGTTTGTCGAGTTCTTCAAGTTTTTTTTGGTTCCTTGAATTGTTTTCGTTAGATTAGCTCGTTGAGTTCGGAGAATTCCGTCAGTTCTGACAGCTTCATGAGTTTTGGGAGTTTTCTCGAGTTCTGTGAATTCTGATCAACTGTAGTTGATAAATGTTTATTTTTTATTATTGTTTGAGTTCGAAAATCCTCAAGAGTTCAGAGTTGACAGAATCTGAACACGTGTAGTAATAAAAAAAAAAGTAGCATAAAGATAAAGTAGACAATCTTGTTATATGATGACTTTTATAGAGTTTTTCTATGGGAGTAAATAAATTCGTTTGATTGGTTCTAGGGGTGTTGCATTAGCATTAGCATTAAAAATAACACTAATGCTAATCCGACACGCCTAATTGGTTCTTTCGAGAAATAATATTTATCATGTAAATATAATATGAGAATAGTTTAAAGAATATTTATTAGATTTGATAAGTATAATCAGATTGACATTTGTCATTATAGATTATTTCAAATATAATATAATTATTCTATTGAGTAAGTTATCGATAAATAAAAGATCTTTGAGATTTATTTCTGGATTTCAAGAAGAGAAACAAATGATAAATGAGAAACAACAAAAAAAGCTTGTTAGCGCAGCCCCTTTGGGGCTAAAATGTGGAACTCACATATTCCCTACGATTTAAGTAGTTATTCGATAGAGGGCGTTTAATTTTTTTATATATTAAATGTGAAAATATGGAAATGGTAAGCGTAAATTAAAACAAATGAGGATTTATTCAGTACAAGTTTGTTTCGTTATTAATGGTTACTAGTATTATAGTGGAAATATTAGGAATTTTAGATCAATGCTTTTCAATATATTCAGGTTGTTGTTTGTTTAAATATAATATTCTAAAAAAATGTCATGAAATATTTATATGATATGTCTGTTTATACTGTTAATGTTGTAAATGATGCATAGAGTGAGAAAGTGTTTAAAATATATTTTCGTACGATTTCAAAAAGTGAGGTAAAGTTTCATAGGTTAGTTTAAGAAAAAAGTTAGATTGCATTAAACTAATAAAATTTTTAAATATAGTAGAAGAGTTCAAAATTTTCATTTTGACAGCTCTATAATAAGAAAATTTTGAAAGGTTTTTTTTTGTTATTTATAGGGAAAATGCATGAAAATAATTAGTTGAACTTACTACGAGACATCTAGAAAGGTGCTAGTAATTACAATAGCGATAGATCGAAAAAAGTCAACATTTTTGTAAGAACAATGAATAAAAGAAAAAAACTGTTTATGTACTGATAGAGAAGGGTGAAAGACAGTTATATAGCGACTCGTTTTCCACCTATTTTTGTTTTATTTTTAACAGGAATCTTTTGCTTGTCTTCTGCTTTTAAAGCGTTGCACAGTTCTTGAGCTAGATCATTTTGTATTTTATGATCAATATCGTAGTTTTCTTCGCAAGCATTTATTTGAATGAGCGAAAGTAGTTACTGGAAACAAAGAAAATATCTAATAATTTATATTTAGATGACTTTTAGTTTACTTGTTCAACTCTGTAGTGACGCGAGCTGCGTTGCTACGGTCTGTAATGGTGGATTATCTGTAATGGAGTTGTCTGTAATGTTCTCTTTCTTCGTTGCTATGGTCTGTAAGGGGGGGGGGGGGGGGG